GAGCTGTCATTTGTGGCCAGGTCGCTTCAGAAAAAGAGTGGGCCTTACCTGGTATTTTTTTTATTAATATGGATGAGATCATCGTAATTATTATTATTTGCGCTGCCTTTTTAGATAAGAGGGGAGTGTTTGCCAAGATTTGACTCATCAGGTGTCGTGTATTGCATGATCTATGGGTTACACTTTGCTCATGCCTAATGTGTTACGCTGGTCGTGTTAGCGACTTTGGCTAATGATATGTCCACACTCAGGAGAATGTAAGTCAAGTGTCCTTGTCAGCCACGGGCAATCGGCTGCTGGATGAAGGACTTCCGAAGCCGTTACCATCTCTCACGTTTCTGCGATGTAACCTTCCACAGAGCACCTACAAACGAGCTGATTTCAAAAACTAAACTATAATCTACTTGACACGTAGGCTTTTCGCGAACAATATCATCCATAAGAGGTTTTTTTTGGGTTAGAGCGCATAAATATGTGTGGTCACCACATCTACGCCTCTATGTAAGGAACAAAACAGATGGACTTCTCCACAAATCTGGCTGTCGCCTGATGAAGCTAGTTGTAATTACTGGCGAAACGTCGTACTCAGATTGTAAATGTTGTGGCTTGGCTTTCCAACACACTGGTGTGCTGTACTCGTGACGAATCGGCATGTTCTGTTTACGTGACAACCCTTACTAGTTGGCTGTGTCGGGTGATAGCGGGTTTTAAGGACACATTTATATATTTACGCGATCTAACCCAAAAAAAATCTCTATTATAATACATTTGCATTTCAGCAGGTAAGGCCCACTGAGCTACGTCGCTCTTTTTCAGAAGCGACCTGGCCACAAATGATAGATCAACGAAGTGGCTTATCACGTGGAAATGTATTGCAGCCAAATACTCTAAACGCGTGGTGTTGATTCTAAAATCTGGAGGGAAAACCCGGAGGACCCGGAGAAAAATCCACGCGGCCACGAGAAGAGATAAATGCAAACTACGAATATACAGGCATCATGGTTGGGATCAAACTAACAACCTCCTGCATACCAGGCGAGGTAGTTAACGTCTCGCCACGGTGACGCCCATCGTTCCCTCTCCTCCGTGAACGACCACCCAGACTCGCGACATTCCTCGACTTCCACTCCATCACTTCTTGACCATCTACTACCAGACTCGTGTTTCTTCACAGTTATAATCGCTTCTTCAGCCTGCATTGTATATTCCCTAATTCACAGTGCTCCTCCGTATGGTCGCTCAATGTAAATCCAAGACAGCAATTCCTCCAAGCTCAGATCGACCTCGCGGGGAAAGTTCCCTCACGTCGTGCCCCCAACATATTTGCACGATCACTACGTGGACCCCTCAATCAGTTGTTGATGTTGGATGTGCAAATAAATGTACATCCCACTTGTGTCAATCCACTGTCGATTGAAAATGAAGGCCGTCCCGTGCCTTGTGGTGCCCATGAGGGTTTCGTTGACCCTACTTCACCGCGCTGGTCGCATGCGGATTAAGGTGTCACGTGAAGCTGGGAAGGCTGTGGGCCAGGAGATTGGGAGTGGGTCTCCCTGCACTGCCCTCTGCTGCCCGCAGCGCCTTTCGCGCCTGTGCTCTGCGCAGGGATCAGCCATCCAAGCAGGGCATGAGGCTGGTGAGGACTTGGGATGGGTGACCACCGCGCCAGAGCGTGCCAGGTGTTGTAGGCGTGAGGCTGGTGGCCAGAAGGCGGCGGTGCTGGAGACACCAACCTCGTGTATCGCGTGGTGGCGTTTTGTCCGCACGGCTTCTCTGGCTTGCTGACGAATGAAAAATGAGCGAATGCCGATTGGCGTTTCTGAATGAATGCGGAATCAGCGGAGGATGAGAGAGTGGGTGTCAATCTGAGTGAATGATGCGGCGCTGAAGTGAACTGAAACATTCCGCGTGGGGGCTGAAGGTCTTGTGCAGGGTGCACGTGTGCATGAGTTTGGATGAATGGAAAGTGGAAGAAGCCCTTTCTTTGATTGAACAAAATTGAGAAACAGCGGTTTGTTTAATGACTCATAACATGTTAAAGTTAACAAGTTAAAACGCGAACGAGTGAATGATAGAGAGTGCACGGGCCATGGGTGATTAAACTATTTTACTTTTATTTTACCAGGTCAGGCGCACTGAGCTATACAGCTGTTTATCAGAAGCGACCTGGTCACAAATGATAGCTCAACGAAGTGGCTTATAACGTGGAAATGTATAGTGGCGAAATACTCTAAACGTGATGTTGATTCTAAATGTGGAGGGAAAACCGGAGGACCTGGAGAGAGACACCGCAAACTCCAAATATACAGCAGCAGCAGGCGTCAGGGTTGGGATCGAACGCACGACCTCCTGCACACCCGGCAAGGTAGTCAACATCTCCTGTTATGTCGGTGGCTGTGCACGAGGCGGCCTGCAATCCAGCACAGTGGAGGCAGCAGCGAGAGCTGGTGGATCACCGCACTGATGTCGTCAAACTCCCTTCCCGTGGGCGCCGGAAGGCGTACAGCAAGTGGACTAATCGCCATCTGTTCCATCCGTATGGGGATAGAGCGTTGCCCCCTCGCGAAAGGCGTGTAGGTTTTCTCCGGGTTACCTCCCATACTTTGTATAATTACGATAATAGTAATAAGCACGACTCGCCGTTGATAGTATGCGAAAAGCATCGCCAAATAAACACGCAAAGTAGCGGCAGCAGGACCCTCCTGAAGACAAGTCATGCATATGACTCAGCCACGGGATACATAAGTAACGTCTCCGTGCAGTGTAAACAAATTAGTAAAAGCAACGATTAAGTGGCTCCGCTGCCTGATTTTCGCATGGAATCGTTCCTTCACCCAAAGACTAGACATCTGTGACAAAAAAGAGCGTTATTAGCTCATAAATAAATATTATGATTCTGAAGGTGCTGCTGATTTTGGCGGGAGAACTAATCACGTGCCGAGAGAGCAAATCAGTGCGCCGATCGCGAGCTGTGAGAGAGTGAGAGAGCCAATCAGTGCACTTATCTCGTGTTGTCAGAGAAAGTGAGAGAGCCAATCAGTGCACTGATCTCGTGTTGTAAGAGAAAGTGAGAGAGCCAATCAGTGCACTGCTGAGAGAGTGAGAGAGCCAATCAGTGCGCTGCTGAGAGAGTGAGAGAGCCAATCAGTGCGCTGCTGAGAGAGTGAGAGAGCCAATCAGTGCGCTGCTGAGAGAGTGAGAGAGCCAATCAGTGCGCTGCTGAGAGAGTGAGAGAGCCAATCAGTGCACTGATCGCGAGATGTGAGAGAGTGAGAGAGCCAATCAGTGCGCTGCAGAGAGAGTGAGAGAGCCAATCAGTGCGCTGCTGAGAGAGTGAGAGAGCCAATCAGTGCGCTGCTGAGAGAGTGAGAGAGCCAATCAGTGCACTGATCGCGAGCTGTGAGAGAGTGAGAGAGCCAATCAGTGCGCTGCTGAGAGAGTGAGAGAGCCAATCAGTGCGCTGCTGAGAGAGTGAGAGAGCCAATCAGTGCGCTGCAGAGAGAGTGAGAGAGCCAATCAGTGCGATGCTGAGAGAGTGAGAGAGCCAATCAGTGCACTGATCGCGAGCTGTGAGAGAGTGAGAGAGCCAATCAGTGCGCTGCTGAGAGAGTGAGAGAGCCAATCAGTGCGCTGCAGAGAGAGTGAGAGAGCCAATCAGTGCGCTGCAGAGAGAGTGAGAGAGCCAATCAGTGCGCTGCAGAGAGAGTGAGAGAGCCAATCAGTGCGCTGCAGAGAGAGTGAGAGAGCCAATCAGTGCGCTGCAGAGAGAGTGAGAGAGCCAATCAGTGCGCTGCTGAGAGAGTGAGAGAGCCAATCAGTGCGCTGCAGAGAAGTGAGAGAGCCAATCAGTGCGCTGCAGAGAGAGTGAGAGAGCCAATCAGTGCGCTGCTGAGAGAGTGAGAGAGCCAATCAGTGCGCTGCTGGAGAGAGTGAGAGAGCCAATCAGTGCGCTGCTGAGAGAGTGAGAGAGCCAATCAGTGCGCTGCAGAGAGAGTGAGAGAGCCAATCAGTGCGCTGCAGAGAGAGTGAGAGAGCCAATCAGTGCGCTGCAGAGAGAGTGAGAGAGCCAATCAGTGCGCTGCAGAGAGAGTGAGAGAGCCAATCAGTGCGCTGCAGAGAGAGTGAGAGAGCCAATCAGTGCGCTGCAGAGAGAGTGAGAGAGCCAATCAGTGCGCTGCAGAGAGAGTGAGAGAGCCAATCAGTGCGCTGCAGAGAGAGTGAGAGAGCCAATCAGTGCGCTGCAGAGAGAGTGAGAGAGCCAATCAGTGCGCTGCAGAGAGAGTGAGAGAGCCAATCAGTGCGCTGCAGAGAGAGTGAGAGAGCCAATCAGTGCGCTGCAGAGAGAGTGAGAGAGCCAATCAGTGCGCTGCAGAGAGAGTGAGAGAGCCAATCAGTGCGCTGCAGAGAGAGTGAGAGAGCCAATCAGTGCGCTGCAGAGAGAGTGAGAGAGCCAATCAGTGCGCTGCAGAGAGAGTGAGAGAGCCAATCAGTGCGCTGCTGAGAGAGTGAGAGAGCCAATCAGTGCGCTGCAGAGAAAGTGAGAGAGCCAATCAGTGCGCTGCAGAGAGAGTGAGAGCCAATCAGTGCGCTGCTGAGAGAGTGAGAGAGCCAATCAGTGCACTGATCGCGAGCTGTGAGAGAGTGAGAGAGCCAATCAGTGCGCTGCTGAGAGAGTGAGAGAGCCAATCAGTGCGCTGCAGAGAGAGTGAGAGAGCCAATCAGTGCGCTGCAGAGAGAGTGAGAGAGCCAATCAGTGCGCTGCAGAGAGAGTGAGAGAGCCAATCAGTGCGCTGCAGAGAGAGTGAGAGAGCCAATCAGTGCGCTGCAGAGAGAGTGAGAGAGCCAATCAGTGCGCTGCAGAGAGAGTGAGAGAGCCAATCAGTGCGCTGCAGAGAGAGTGAGAGAGCCAATCAGTGCGCTGCAGAGAGAGTGAGAGAGCCAATCAGTGCGCTGCAGAGAGAGTGAGAGAGCAATCAGTGCGCTGCAGAGAGAGTGAGAGAGCCAATCAGTGCGCTGCAGAGAGAGTGAGAGAGCCAATCAGTGCACTGATCGCGCCGAGGTCGGCTTCACCTTCACGCCGCTCATCGGTGAACCACGCGAGGGCGGACGCGCCGCTTTTAGATCCCCCAGCGCGGATAGGCGCCGCTTCGCCTCCCATTGGTCGCGCCGCATCCCCGCGTGACCGGATTCCGCCAATCAGAGATTTGACTCGGGACGCTCTTCGCTTATGTGAAGTGGGAAATATAAGAGGAACCGGCGAGGCCTCCGCGTCGCTCCTCTCCGCTGCGCCTCGTCCCCCGTGAGTTTCCCAGGCGCCAGATTCCTCCCTCGGGGCCGACTCGAATCTCCCCTCGAGCGGAACGAGAAGTGTGCGGCGGTACGGGGCTGCCGGTCAGGGTCCCTGCGTGACGCCTGTCTCGCCTGGCCGCGGTGCCCGCCCCCCCGCGCCCTCTTGGGTAGAGCTTCAGGCGACGCCGAGGAGGCGCTCCGGTCAGTTGCGGGCCTCAGCTCAGCTGCGAATGAACCGCGCGGGCTTTTTGACAAACATTAAACTATAACATTACTCTTAACTACTGTGTAAGATGTTATAGGCTAACATAGCTAGTAGTAGTCGTAGCGACGAAATGCATACTGGATGTGGTGTGCCGGCAGTGGAAATATCTGGACAGATCCGGGTGAAATGAGGCTCTGGGTAACATCTGTGGGTCTAGATTTGAAGTTTTCGTGACTGCAAGGATTCACACTTCTTTGTTTTTTTTTGGTAAAGTCACGTAGGTAAAAATTAAAACAACTAAATTAAATCACGACGTTTCGGAAGCAACACAAGTTTCCGTCATCAGGTAGGACAACCACATAAAAAAACAAATTAACCACAGCAAAAACAAATTAACCACAGCAAAATAATATATCACATTTTGCTGTGGTTGTCCTACTTGATGACGGAAACTTGTGTTGCTTCCGAAACGTCGTGATTTTCCTTGTCAACAGCGTGCAGGTTTCTGAGCGTGTGTCACATAGTGTCATTGTCATGATCGTCATCACTGATGACGACAGATAATTATTAAATGAAAGACGAGCCACGGTGTTGGTGTGGCCATGCAACCCAAACTGTGCACCATACATTAAACCACTGTGATATTTTCACCTACGTGACTTTACCTAAAAACCAAAGAGTATCTGTGGGTCTCTATGAGGCCATGAACATCTGAGACTACATGGACCTCGAAGCGAGCCCGTGGGTCTCTCTCTGTAAGTCTCTGCACGTCTATTGATCTGCACGTCAGTATATGCATATTCTCTCGTCGTGCTCTACATCCGAGGCATCATTTCTCACTGAACGCTGAACAAAGGGGTTCCTCGCGGAGTTCCCGATCCTGGTCGTCAGGAGGGTGCCGGGATACATTTCGGTGCATGAGCAATGGGAGCTTCGTGTGGGAAGATCAACCGCGACACCCCCACCAGGTGCACGAGGGGGGGAGCTCAATGGGCCCCGCACGGGCCGGGTTGCACGACCGCCCCCGCTGCCATCTGCTGGCCACCCGCCCGCGCTGAAGCACCGAGCACAAAGACGAACACCACCCCCCGCGTGTCGCCTCAGACTGTCGGGGCAAGCGCTGTTGGCGAGCAACGCCGATGCTATGAAGGCCGGAACGGCACACGAGGGGGTGGGTGGCCAGCACCACGTCTGGCCGCCTTTGTCTCCCCAGCTGGCGATGTGTACACACCGCACCGGGTACTCGTTTGAGGCTGAGTCGACCTAGGGGAGACCCAGCAGGAGTCGAAGTCGGGGCGCCGGGTTCGTAGCGCGGCGCGCTAACCGCTGCGCCACCGCTCTCCACAGTCGCATGCCCTAAAGTTCAGCACGAGTGGTGGGGAGGTCAAATAATGATCGATTCTGTAAGCGACGAGGAAAACGCATCGTAACAGACATCGGTGCAGACTGGAAAACAATGAGTTTCAAACAACGCACAGAGACGTGAACAAAAACCATCACCGGTTACTGAAGCGCTGCATTGTTGGTGCCCAGTGTCCTCGGTCACCATCCAGTTTGAGCAAATGTGACTGGCAGGCGGCAGTGGGCATTGGCGACTGCCGATGAATCCTGATTGTTATGAAACCGTTACACAGTTACAGTATCTCTGTGTCTCACTGCTCATGTCAGTCGGTCACATTTGCTAAAATGTATTTGATGGTGACCTAAGATAGGAGGACCATAATACAGTTCTTCAGGAACTGTTGATGGTTTTTGCTTAAGGGTCCGTCCATAAATGACGTCACGCGATTTTGGACGATTTTTTTACCCCCCCCCCCTCGTCACACGGCGTCACAAAAAGTCAGACCCCCCCTCAAATATGACGTCACAAAGCTCTGCCCCCCCCCAACCATATTTCCATTTTTAAAATAAAAGATGCTTCAAATCGCTTTAAACTATTGTCATTGTAGTGCATATTTAATGTGGCGCTGCACTCTGATGTAGGAGAAAACATTAAAAAGTCTATTTCATTAAGTAGAACGTGTTGTCCATTTAAAGTTGCGCATTTTGATGAGACGTCACATTTCTCAAACCCCCCCTTGTCACACATCGTCACAAATGTCTGACCCTGCCCCCCTAGGTGCGTGACGTCATTTATGGACGGCCCCTAATGCACGTGAGCCGAGTGCTTCTCGTACACGTGCTTGTTTGTCACGAAGAGCTGCAGATTATTGAGATGTACCCTTTGTCCCTAGAAGCTGCACTGTCTCTTGGCCTTGTTATGACCGGCACGGTGTTGCCCCCTGCTCTGTGTGTGGCACAAAGTTTCACCTTCGTGTTGCCTCATTGCAATTCCCTTTCAACTATGATTTCCAACTAAAGTTCCAAACAATCTTCCCTGTAAATTTTTAGTTATTCGTCGCTTATGCTGGTAACAAAACAGACAAAATGCGTCTTGTTTGTGCAAAAACTTGGTGGGGAAAAAACGCTTAAGATTAGCCTCGCCGATGTGATGTCACAAGGCGCACGACGTGCAAAGTGATCTTGCGTCAGTCGGCACATGTCACGCTCATTACGCGAGTTGAAACGCCTTGTTATTATCGTTAATTACAAATTCTGTCAAGGAATAAACTTGCGGTGGAACGCACGACAGAATCCGTGCGGTATGCAAGATCTTTCGAGCTTGTCATTCTTTTTTTTGTTTGTATTCCTTCACAGTCTGCCATGGCCACGCTGAGGTTCGGGCAGCACGTGGTGAGCGCCACCGTGGTATTCTTGCGGAGCGAACTCTCCTTCGCCATCGTCAATCGCAAGCCCGTGCTTCCGGGCCGTATCCTGCTATCATTCCCCCCCGCACGCGAGCGAGCGCGCACCACCACTTACGAACCCAGAGAAGCAGGGATGGTGGTTTTTGTTTGGCTTTGTTTGTCCTGCGAAAATAGGGAAATGAGAAGTGAGTTGGTGGGATGTTTATTTATGGTGGCACTATCTGCAACCGCCTCCCCCAAATCCCTCATCTGCAAACTCCAGATGAACCAAAATTCCACTTCCAGGGCTCCTCCCCCTGTAATCAAGACCACGTAACCCTAACCCGACCCCTCCACAGGCTCCCAATGCAATCCTAGATCAATATAAATATCGTACTTTCCTACGTCTCCCCGCTCATCTCACTCCAATCCACTTTTCTCCCGCAACTGACATCTTCTGTCGAAAGCCCCATTCAACCTTCACTCTGGATCTCCCTTTCCCAAACCATTTGTGTTGACCCACTCACTTGGTTCAACTCCAGGCTTAAGACCTTAGTTTTTTTTCTGCCTATGACTGATGGCCTCTTTATTTCAAATAAACGCGTGCACTGCTTCCTTGCAGCATGCAGAGATGTGGACGCACTTAGACGCTCTGTAAATCCAACTGGTATTCAGAGCCACGTGAAAGCCCGCTGAGAGGCAATTCCATCAACATGTTGCATTCGTTACAGCAAAATAGTACGGTAACGTAGTCATTTTAAGAATAAAAAAATTATGATTGTGTTGATATATTTGAGGTGAACTTAAACACAAGTAACACTTTGACAATATTACAATCTGTGTACTTCCTCCTACTGTAATGTACGTGACATGCTCGTGGAATTACCCTGTCAAGATCGATTGCCTCATTTTTAAAATACATCTGGTTAAAACAAGCAGCACAGGAGGTAGCCGGGTGACTGAGGTCTCGGAGACTGAGCCAGTGCCGCCGAAATCCTGAGTTCGAATCTCGAGTTTCATATCCCAACCGTAGTTTAAACTGGGTTCTCAAGTGTGCCAAATTGATCATCTCGGCCCAGTCGACAACAGTTGGATTTTCCCTTGATTTGGAAGAAAATCCATCTTTGAAAATAAAAATATCAGTTTACTTGACATGTGATGAACAAACTCCACAGGGCACCATCAAACTTATTGGCAGGTCGACAATTTATAAACGCGCATGGGTTACCGTCGATAGTGTATTCATGATGTGTCTTGTTTTTACATGCCGTGGTATGTCAACCATTCAGGACTGCAATTTAGATAAATCATTTGCCCGCCTGTCTCGTTAAGGGAGAAATGCTTATAAAATACCGTGGTGTTGGACGTACTCTGACTGTCTTTCATCCAAGTTGGGATGGTGGCGCTGGTGCATTCGGCTTCGTGCACGTGTCAAACCATCAAATTGTTCCATAAATGAGCCGTATTCTTCCAAAGCTCTAGATAATCACCTTCAAAATCACGCCCCATACGTATCAATTGGGTGGTTTCGAACACACACCCCGGGGTTATTCTCTCTTGTGGAGCTGCTCGTATATTGAACACGAACCTGAATCCTGATGGCTTCCAAATGCAACACGAGATGTGACGTTGGGCGCCCCTGTGTGAGACGAGAACGAACGCTGGCGGCGACTTTTGGTGCCCTCTTTTGTAGAGCGCGCCGAAGCCATCGGCGTCTCTCTCATGACCCCCTCGCGATGCGACAGACTGCCGGGCACCTGCTCGGGAGCTCGTTTCGTCGGCCCGGCTTTGCGGTGGATGTTCCTCTTGGTGCGCGTTCCCTCCCTTGGCCGGCCACTCCGGCATCGGTCTCGACCATCACCCATCATAGCCATGTGTCCCACCCCAAGCCCACTTTTCTTCATTAGTTATTTCTCTTAGTTTTCTGCATGTTCTTGAGTGTTTTTATCGGTGCCCCTAGCTTATATTCACGCGATCTAACCAAACAAAATAAACTAACTCCATTATGGATAATATTGGTGGCAAAAGTCTCCTACGTGTTAAACTGCCCTCTAGCTTTTTCAATCATCATACATTCCCCGTGTATTCCAAGGCCGGATCGTGAGAGATGGCGGGCTGCTTGGGGAAGGCCTTCACTCCAGCAGTGGATCGGTCACGGCTGTTTCTAGTCTATTCCTGCGTGTGGAAGTATGTTGAGGAGCTGCCGAATGCCAATGTGGAGGTCTGCTGGCCATGACGAGAGGTTCCTCGGGAAAGGGAGTTCGTGTCGTTTTGCTGCTTCTCCGAAGAAGCGCAAATCACAGTGGTTTAATGTATGGTGCACAGTTTGGGTTGCATGGCCACACCAACACCGTGGCTCGTCTTTCATTTAATAATTATCTGTCGTCATCAGTGATGACGATCATGACAATGACACTATGTGACACACGCTCAGAAACCTGCACGCTGTTGACAAGGAAAATGGAACAAAAGCTGAGAAGGGTGCAAAAAAATTTGCACGGGAGAGATGCATGCTTGGAATCGTGCTGAGAAAAAGAGGAAAGCATGGATTAGCGATTTGGAGTACAACAGGGCATGGAATAAATCATTCTCTAGAACATTGAGCGCCCGCTCTACTCGCCGTGGACGATAAGTAGTTGCAATTCCAATGGGATGTGCTCTTTCCTTCTATATTAAGTTGGGAACGTGTCGTACCGCACCCTTACGCCACACATCAAAAAACTAAGACCGATGCCCCGTGTAGCCTGAACAGACTGTAGGGGAAAGTGCTTTTAGCGAGCACCTATGAAGGCCGGAATGGCACACGAGGGGGTGGGTGGGTGGGTGACCAGCACCACGCCCGGACGCCTTTGTCACCCCAGTGGCGATGTTTACACACTGCACCAAGTACTCATTTGAGGGGAAGACCAGGACCGGTTCAGATAATCCTCACCGGTGTTAGCCATGAGCGAGGATTGAATTCGGGCCGCCGGATTCGTAACGCACTGCGCTCACCGCTCCACCACCGCTCCACCATCACTCTCGACACACCACATACGCACGTACCCGCCATCTCATTTGGATATAAGTGAAGTATCCCAGCCGTGCGTGCGCTCATTAATCCTATGAATCCTTCAAGCAGGTGACAGCCTCACTGAGACAACACATTGCATATGCCCGTAGCGTATATACAATTAGGAAAATTGCCGTTGCTTTGTCAGCTATGATGTAATGTATGAATGCACGCTCATATACGTTGGAAGGTAATCTATTACCGGTAATGCATTACCGCGGTGAAGTTTCTGAATAAGAGTTATTAGTTCATGATTACATTGTGCCCGTAACAGCCTTGCATCTCACTATGCACGTGCATACAGTATGCTGTTTGAAGACAAGACTTTGTTCGCTGATTAAGATATTGGAATATATTGTGCAAGTAGCATATTGAGCATGCTGCAGTAAGGCCGGTTTAACTTGACAATTCGTTATTTAAGAGGTGAGTGACCTGAATAAAATTGTATGAGCAAAACAGGTTCGAGATCAACTGTTATAAACAGTTAAACCTCATACCAGCAATCATGTTCTGGAAATTAATATCACCCCGGCAACCAGGTTCCAGAGTTAAACATCACACCAGCAATCGGGCTCTTTAAGTTCAAATTAAAAACAGTTGAACAATGTAACAAAATGTAACAGATAAACATTCTCTGTGTGTAACAAATTAGACATAACGCTGAGAAGCATTTGTATATTATCCAAGCGTGCGTGTGCGTGAGGACACCGCGAGTAGATGTATGTTCGCTTGGAGTAAAAGCTGGCAGGAGGCTGCGTTTACGACCTCCAATGTGAGAAACCCCATTTTACCGAACCGTTCCCAGAATGCCGTTGTTGTGCTGCTCGGCGAGCGTAGAGGGCCACCTCTTAAACCCGTGATTGCGCCGAGGGGTGATCATTACGGCAAATACACGAGATCTGGGTGTTCCAGAAGGGGAACGAGCCAGACGTGCCGGAAGAGCGCCGCACGCCACATCGCAAACAAAGCTCGCTTTTGTGGAACTTATTTTTCCCGGTGAGTCTTCTTAAATAACTACTCTGGAAGGAGGTCCATTATTTCGTCCGTAATAACCGCCGGCGGACATACAAGGTGGAAAGATAAACCATCCGGGACTTTTATTAGAAAAGGGAAATGTTTTGTTGCAATGTTTTTCTTGGGAATTTGTGTCCTTGGGGGTGGGAGTTGTGGGGGATGGAATTTGTGCAAAACGCGGAGGTGGGAGGTCCGTTTCGACGGAGCGACATTGGCTGCTCACGGTGGGAGGCCTCAGTCGGAGCCCCTATCCCCCAGTTGTGCATGCCGCAAATGCGTTTTCTTGAGGAATCTTCTGAAAATTGGGCCATTTGCACAGAAAGCACCCCCCCCCCATGCAATTTCCACACATGCTTGCTTTATGTAATTTTTTTATTTAAACATCTATAACGTTAAAGATGTGTGGCGGCCATGACGGCGTAACGGATCACGGGCTGGACTTGCGATCCAACGGTCGCCGATTCAACTCGCTATATCTAGGCGCGGCGGTGGTGGTTAGAACAATGGGGCCGGTTTCTTTTACCCCCCCCCCCTGCCCCCACCCTGCTCATCTCCACAGCGTCTGTCCACACAGCAGCTGCACGAATGGGTCACACCGGGGGTAGTCGATCGGCAGGCCGTGTGTGGCGAGGTGTCGATGCAGAGCAACGACTACAATTTCACATTCAGGTGGTCAAGCCAGCAGACAACCGCCTCAGGAACAGTGGAGTAGTACCACCGTAATGCCTCCTTCGTATTTGTGGATCGGGGCATTGCGTCGTTATACGTTGTACTACTGTCTGTTCTGGATGACCGCGGTCGCACACTACGACTGAAGAGTTTTAAATTTTTCATTTGTGCATCAGGTATCCGTATCTTGCAGCCACGGTTTGTGCAGTGGATGCGATTTAGGGTGGACCATACGGCAATACATGCTATACGGCTCTCTCAGGCTGGCTCCGGTGGGAACCCTTTGCCAACAGTGGCGCACGAGCAAGATCTTGGCAGGGCTGCACCTCTTACCATTTTGCACGATAACAAAGTACGTTTTTGAACACGGCCCATTATTTGGCGGTGCGTTCATTACGGACGTATTCATCCTGGGCATCTCGAGTACGCTGATCACTTTCTCAAATCATATTTGGGACATCTCCTTTATGAATCACGCCCGTTCCCGCCACCGCAGCCGTGTAATGATTTTTTGCCGCTGTGACCTGAAATGTCCCGCGCGTGTAAAACGTCATTTATCATAAACACACGTTTTGTGTGTGTGTATGCGTGCGCGTATTATGTATTTTTTATGTAATGCCCCTTGAAGGTGTCATGTTTGTGTGACCGATAATGGCATGCAGCCCGGCGTCACCGCCTCGCCCGGTCCCGCGCCATTATTAGATCCCACACCTTGCCTTGTGCATCCTCGCGAAATAATTTAAATGAACACGGCCGAACGTTTTGATTTATTCACGTGCCCCTTGGCCTTATTCCCAGGGAAATGCGGATCGGCCGAACGAAGGAGGGGAGGACCACCACCCCCACCACCCCCACCACCCCCACCACCCCCTCCCCTCTCCCCTCTCCTCCGAGGTCATCGCAGAGTGAGGGTCGTGACCCACGTTGCTGTGAGATGCTGTCACCCCGACGTCCGAGTGCGCTTTTCTGTGCCGCCTCTTCAGAATTTTTCACCGAGAGCTCTCCCAAGAGCACGACTCAAAACTCAACAAAACTATTTTCTATTTTACGAGGTAAGGCCGACTAAGCTATGTAGCTTTTTTCAGAAGCGACCTTGCCACAAATGATAGCTCAATGAAGTGGCTCATTGTGTGAAAGTTTATAGCGGCCAAATACTCTGAACGCACGTCTCTAGATGTGGAGGGAATAACCGGAGGACCCGGAGGAAAATCCACGCGACCACAGAGAGAGACACCGCAAACTCCAAATACACAGCAGGCATCGGGGTCGGTATCGAACCCACGACCTCCTGCATACCAGGCGAGCGAGTTCACATCTCGCCACGTGGCGCCCGCTCCTGCGAGTGTCTTTAGGAGCCAGGCGAAGATCAGGAATGCTCAGCCTGGAAGAGGGCGTGAGGATTACAAGTGGCCGTACGCCGCGATCTGCACGTACAGTGTAAGGTCCACGTCAATTGCCTTCTCTAGCTTTTTTTCAAACAAAATGTTTAAGGTTAACAATCGTGATTCAGAGTTCAATAGAAAGAGCGGTTGCCCGTTAGGTTAGTAGTCGCATGAAGTGCGGCTACGCTCACCTCCACCAAAGACGCCTGGTCAGCTACAGAGAGGACCTCTCTATGCCTCCCGCTCTATTGGAGGCCCTTCTGCCGGCGGTGGCGTCAGCGCGGAAAATCGACATCGGGGCAACCCTCGTGTGCTCGGTCGCCACGTCCCATCGCGCCGTGTGTGTCCTTGTTTCCTTGACGACGGCGGCGGCAGACGTGCTCGTGTGCCCCTTGCGCCCCGCGGAGCGCCTGTGCGACCTCCGACCCGACGAGGTGAGCGACCTCTTTGTAACGGCGCAGCGGGTGGCGGGGGCCATCGGCAAGCACTACGGAGCACCGTCGCTCACCCTTGCCGTGCAGGTAACCCTCGCGCCCGATGCGCGACCGAGGCGGTGTGATATCATCCTCGCCTGGTATACAGGAGGTCGTGGGTTCGATCCCGACACTAACGCCTGCTGAAAATTTATGGAGTTTGCGTCTCGCTCTCTTTCCCTGTAGTCGTGTGGATTTTTCTTCTGGGTCCTCCGGGTTTTCCACCCACATTTAGAAACATGCATTCAGATTATTTAGATTATTTTACTGCTATACATGTTGACATGATGAGCAACTTTGAGCTTTCATTTGTGGCCAGGTTGCGCCTGAAAAATAAGTTACCACCTCAATGGTCTTTGCCTGGTAGGATGGGGATGGTTTAGTTTTATTTTCATGTTTTTGGGCGATTCTTATTTTTTTTACCTTTCCTGTACTATCGTGTTGTTTGTACTGTTTGTTGTTGTGACGTTCTTACCCCATGCCCTGACTAGACATCGGTGAAAAAGAGCTTTATAGCTCATCGTGCAGTATAAAAAGTATAAATAAATACAGGCAGTCCTCTACTTAAGATGGAGATGCGTTACGACGACCCCATCGTAAGTCAAAAATATCGTAAGCCGAAGATGGCCTAGCCTACCCAGGAGTCTTAATGAATAGTGATAATTTAGCAAAACAGCAATTTACAGTAGCGTGCTGTATAAACTCTTTACTGTATGTATTTATTAATTACAATACTGTATCGCACAGTAAAATGTAAAGTAAAAAAAACAAGGTACATTCTTAGCCTACCGATATGAACTGCAATTTAATAGAAAGTTTTTTCAGGAAACAATCCTATTTGCTATGAAAACTTTTAGCATGCATTAAATTGAACGTAGTTCAATGCATGGGAGGGTTTCTACGCGGAGGAATACCGAGGGGACAATGCTGCATCCCATATAGATGAAACGGGTGCAGTCTACTGCAAAACTGCCGCCGACTGCATCTATGAAACACGCAGGCGCCTCCGTTTACGGTAGCCATGCGCCTTTAAGAATTCTCGCGCAAATGTGGCACATGTACTAAAGCGTAAACAACAACAACAACCGTCATCGTTCCCTTGCCTCCGTTGATGGCTGTGTTGATGATGCGCGCCATTGGCACGGTGTGCCACTTGAGTCCATTCCGCTTGTGTTGTGCCGCTTGTGTGTGTGTGTGTCGCCTGTGTGTGCGTGTGTGTCGCCTGTGTGTGCGTGTGTGTCGCCTGTGTGTGCGTGTGTGTCGCCTGCGTGTGTGTGTGTCGCCTGTGTGTGTGTCGCCTGTGCGTGTGACGCCTGTGTGTGTGTGATGCCTGTGTGTGTGTGTCGCCTGTGTGTGTGTGTCGCCTGTGTGTGTGTGTGTCGCCTGTGTGTGTGTGTGTCGCCTGTGTGTGTGTGTGTCGCCTGTGTGTGTGTGTGTCGCCTGTGTGTGTGTGTCGCCTGTGTGTGTCGCCTGTGTGTGTGTGTCGCCTGTGTGTGTCGCCTGTGTGTGTCGCCTGTGTGTGTGTCGCCTGTGTGTGTGTCGCCTGTGTGTGTCTGTCGCCTGTGTGTGTGTGTGTGTGTCGCCTGTGTGTGTGTGTGTGTGTCGCCTGTGTATGTGTGTCGCCTGTGCGTGTGACGCCTGTGCGTGTGTCGCCTGTGTGAGTGTCGCCTGTGTGTGTGTCGCTTGAGCGTGTGTCGCTTGTGTCTGTAACGCCTGTGTCTAACGCTTGTGTCTATAACGGTTGTGTCTGTAACGCCTGTGTCTGTAACGCTTGTGTCTGTAACGCTTGTGTGTGTGCTGCTTGTGTCTGTAATGCCTGTGTCTGTAACGCTTGTGTCTGTAACGCTTGTGTGTGCTGCTTGTGTCTGTAACGGGTGTGTCTGTAACGCTTGTGTCTGTAACGCTTGTGTTTGTGCTGCTTGTGTCTGTAACGTTTGTGTCTGTAACGCTTGTGTCTGTAACGCTTGTGTGTGTGCTGCTTGTGTCTGTAACGGGTGTGTCTGTAACGCTTGTGTGTGTGCTGCTTGTGTCTGTAACGGGTGTGTCTGTAACGCTTGTGTGTGTGCTGCTTGTGTCTGTAACGGGTGTGTCTGTAACGCTTGTGTGTGTGCTGCTTGTGTCTGTAACGGGTGTGTCTGTAACGCTTGTGTGTGTGCTGCTTGTGTCTGTAACGGGTGTGTCTGTAACGCTTGTGTGTGTGCTGCTTGTGTCTGTAACGGGTGTGTCTGTAACGCTTGTGTTTGTGCTGCTTGTGTCTGTAACGGGTGTGTCTGTAACGCTTGTGTGTGTGCTGCTTGTGTCTGTAACGGGTGTGTCTGTAATGCTTGTGTTTGTGCTGCTTGTGTCTGTAACGCTTGTGTGTGTGCTGCTTGTGTCTGTAACTGGTGTGTCTGTAACGCTTGTGTGTGTGCTGCTTGTGTCTGTAACGCTTGTGTCTGTAACGCTTGTGTGTGTGCTGCTTGTGTCTGTAACAGGTGTGTCTGTAACGCTTGTGTCTGTAACGCTTGTGTGTGTGCTGCTTGTGTCTGTAACGGGTGTGTCTGTAATGCTTGTGTCTGTAACGCTTGTGTGTGTGCTGCTTGTGTCTGTAACGGGTGTGTCTGTAACGGGTGTGTCTGTAACGCTTGTGTGTGTGCTGCTTGTGTCAGTAACGCTTGTGTCGGTAACGCTTGTGTGTGTGCTGCTTGTGTCTGTAACGCTTGTGTCGGTAACGCTTGTGTCTGTAACGGGTGTGTGTGTGCTGCTTGTGTCTGTAACGGGTGTGTGTGTAACGGGTGTGTGTGTAACGCTTGTGTCTGTAACGGGTGTGTGTGTGCTGCTTGTGTCTGTGCGTGCGTCTGTCTCCCCCCACTCCAGGATGGCCCGGAGGCCGGGCAGACTGTGCAGGTGAATGGCATTGAGCATCTCCCGCACAAACAGCAACACACACTCCATAACAATACGAACACGGATACATTATTCATCGCGCCTAAGCTCCGAGCATTTATTATGTCGGGAGTCTCGGTAATGTTCCTCTTGACGTTTTACACGTGCGGGACATTTCAGATCCGACGGAGGCACTTCTGCGTTGAGCCGTGTCACGCAGCAGACTCGCCGCGATGTTTAACATCTCCACGGTTGGCTACGTACGGTGCGAAAGACGTTCAACGTCAAACATTCATTGATTTGCGATTTTATCCCGCTGTCATCCGCGGATCAGCAGGTAGTGATCGCTGACAATGCGTAGATTTGTATCGTTTTCGAACTCCCGATGAACTTTCGGGGCGAGGGAAGATCGTTTGAAAGTTATCCAATTTGCAATTCACTGAAACGAAATCGCTGCCGCGAGTCTCTTAGTCAATGCAAGTCTGTGGTCCGTATTGCTCGTAACGCACGTGCTGTCAGCTACACGAGCGGTAATTAAAGTAGCTGCTAAATTATGACATCTTGCAACTGCTGTGCCATCCGTTACTCCGGACAACATGTTATGATTCACTGATGTAGTGAATTATAGATACGTAGAACTTCACTTACTGCTTCTGAATAAGTGTTTTATTTTATTAAATGAGCGACAGTAAAAATAACAAAACTATTCTCGTGACCACGTAATTTGTCATGGCCCACGTACAGAATATTGTCGCA